TGTCAGGCCTTTCTCTTGAGTCATTAAGTCTTGATGACCAAAGCCTGGTATTAGTCTTTTGAACACTGATTTAGGACCAGTATTGCATAGAGACGTTGATACACGCATACACACACACTCGAGCAAAAGTAGCAAGAGCAGCATGAAAGATAATTAGCCAAACCATCCTATATCTATCCATGACTCCTCATTTTTATTTTTGGTTATGAGTCTATATAAGAGGTAAGATAGAGCCGGATAGTCTTCTTGACCTAGTGTTAATGTGAAACTTTTACAAGAGTTAGTTCCTGATCTAATGATGTCCATCATATGATGGATGAAAGTTAAGCCCGGTTTCACTCGAAGCGAGCGAGGATGTCTCGGGGACTTTGTCAACCTGAACTTTGAAGTGAATCCAGATGGTTGCAGTATAACAGGAATTAGCCGTCGTCTTCTGGTGAGATCAATCTACAAATCTCTCCTTCATGCACTTTCATACGAAATGAAGGTCTCCTCAACAATTTTTCCCCAGTTACTCTTCGTATCTAAAATTTACTTATAGCTAGTTATTTATACGATTTTCCTGCTCCTTTTTATTTTAGCTTCTTCTTAGACAGCGTGGTGTAGAGCATCTTCTCAATATTTTAACCAATCAGCAGGCCTTTGTTTTTGGTCATGTGGATTCATTAGCCTCTGATGCATTAAAGACTGATTTAAATGAGGCTTCATCAGAAACACAGCAGTGTCGTCGGCGGCGACGCTATCATAAATTTTCTAACGACTCCGAAACGGAACCATCTGAATCAGGTCCCTCAAGTCAGCTGTCACTAACTGGAGGAGTAAGGATTGACATAATATTTTATATTTCCTATCTATCATAAACTTATTTTGCATACCTTCACAGATTCGTAAAATGACCTCATCCGAAACCAAAGATTATGCCAATTCACGAATCCTTACTCTGTCTGTTTGTGTAGCCTCTTCGACAACCGGAATTCCTAAGACAGCTTAAAATTTAAATATATATGAGGAAACAGTCTTCTGCGTTCACATACACAGAGGCCTATAAACATAGTCTATCGTATTCCAAAGGAACTTGTTTGACCTTTTCTTGTTAAAGAAAAAACAAGATTTAATTTTTTGAAAGTATTTCACTATCTAGTAGTTTTTTAATTTCATTTTCACTATTTGCACTTTCTTATAGGAGGACTAGCACTGTCCGCTAACTGGGCCAGTCTTAACAATAGACTTAACTTCGTCAAATTTACAGGTTAAGGGAACTACGTTGACCAACACTGTAGAGCCATCATCTTATCTAAGCTATATTCCACTAACAATTCCTTTACACCATTTTTGTTTCTTGTGGCCAAAAGTCATCTCCTTACTCTACTACGAATCCATTTTTTAAGATAAAGCTCTGGACATGCATTACTTTTTATTGAATTTATTTGAGCTTAGTTTGATTCCCCACCACTCCTAGACTTTCTTTTGACATGCCTCTTAATAAAAAACGAATACTTTCCTTTGTCCTTCATGTTGACTTAACATTTCACTTACATCCAGCCTGCTTCTGTGATAAGATCCGCTTCACTTTGTCTGCCACAGTGATTCGTCTATGTTTTGTCTTACAAGATACAATCCAAGTTTGGTTATCACAAATATAGGAGAAAAGGTGATGACTACTGGTTTTATCAAGAATATGATAATTCTTTGCATGTCGAATAATAGAAAATGAAATTTTCTTGAATAGGATCTGCCATGTGCCATTGCTTTTATATTTTGTTCGGAATATAGTCATTTCTTTCAATACATCACTAGCTTTTACTCCAGAAGTACTATATATCCTATGTGGTTCATTTCAAATTATATATTTTTGTCATAGGCTCCAAATTTTCATCCTTATGCTTTGAAGAGCTTGGTTCGCAAACTTAACTAGACGGATAAAAAAATGAC